TAACCAAAGTAATTTAAATGTTATGAATAACTTACATCTATTTTTTTGTTCATTTTATTTTAGCCTTTAGAAATAAGAGGCCCATATGACGTGGCAAACTTGTATCCTTTTCTGAGTAAAAAGTTATTGAAATTGTCTTTTAGGAAATTTGTAATTTGATATGATATTATACTTTAACAAGATATTTTTCCTAACCTTTTACTGTAAGCTTGCCAAATAACTTCAAAAAAAATTACATCATGTTGTAGAGAGCTTCGTCTTTTGTTTTCTAGGTTAAGGCTGAGATATAAAAAGGAGAACAAGGAGAAGGGATTCTATATTATAAAAGCTTACAGTTAAATGAACCTCTTCTCAGATGTGTGTCATTTGGGCTAAGAATGCTAATTCTACAGCAGTAGAATTAAAGTCTCCCTCTCGATCTGTGAGCAGGTGAATTGGCATCGTCAGTTATGTTTGTGTTAGTCTCATGTCCTGGGCTGACTCTGGGTTGAAATCCTTAGCGATCCCCCAGGGGCCTGCTGTTTGGACTGTCTGAAAGCGATGCCAAGGCTGCGGTGTCCACCCACTGCCGAGCAGTGCTTCTGCACGGAGGTGAGCAAGTTCTCCCAGGAACAACACTGAATGGGCATGTGCAGAGCCAGCCCTTTTCGTCAGGCAGTTGAGCCGTATCTACTTGTATTATCCTGACCTGCAGAGTTCCTTTAGGGTCATCTTTTCTCATCCTGTTTTGACCATACCAATCAGTGCTGTCCTGCCCTTCACTTCAGACTTGACTTTCTCTAGTTTGTGGAATGAATATAGTTTGTGTTACAGAAATGAGTACTGAATGTGTTCTTTCGAGCCCTGCGTGTGTGTCCCTGCCCATTCCCCTGTCTCCTCCCTCCTCTTCAGAGGGGCATCATTAAGAACACAGAAACAGCAAACACATTTTCAGACGCCAACTAACTAACTCAAATGGTAACTTTTTCACATTTATTACAGCTTGTGATTCTTTTCTCATTTTCTGTTTACATGTTCAAGCAGTGCAGACTATACATTTTTTTACTCACATTTCATTTATGTATATCTGCCTCCACATTAATTCCATTACTAGAAGCCATTGAATTTGTTATTTATTAGATGATAAAAATTGAATTAGAAGTATTTGGTATGCCTAGACTAGGGATCGGCAAACTTTTGAGACGGAAGAGCTGTCAGGTCGGCAAACTGCGGCTCATGAGCCACATGGGGCTCTTTGGGTACGTACATGTGGCTCTGAAGTAAAATTGAAAATGAAAATAAAACTATCATAGTTTCATTTATAAAATTTTTAAAGGCTGTTATTCATATAATGGTGATTTCATTTGTTTTATGACTCTCGAAAATAATTTTTAAATTGTTGTGAGGGACAGGATTGGCTCTTCCAGGGGTCAGCAAACTTTTGAGACGAAACGTACCCAAAGAGCCGCGTGTGGCTTACGAGCCACAGTTTGCCGACCCCTGATCTAGAAGATAAATTATAGATACCCTGGTTTTAGATGATACTGGAATCAGAATGAGACAGTTGTGTGGTGTATTCCTAAGTAGCTAATTCAGCCTTAGGTTACAGTAGAGGAAAGAAAGGATTCTGAGGCAAGAGGATTCAGAGCCTCATTATTGTCCTCTGTGCCGATGAAGCCCCAGCTAGCACCTGTGTCGTCCTTAGTGCCACATTTAAGAAAGACAGCCATGCACTGGAGCACCACCGGAAGACAGTTAATAGGTTCTTAGAGGGTCTGGAAACCTTCTCATGAGAGGAATTGTTGAAAGCAATGCAGGAGTGGATGCCTGGAAAACAGAAGACTTGGGACACTAGTAGCTGGCTTTCAACACTGGGGGGCTTGCCACAGGGAATCAACCTTAGATGGGTCCTGTGGAGTTCTAGAAACCCTTGAATAGCAGCTAAGGAGGTGGTGGGGAAGGGACAGAAGAAAGTGGTTCAAGGCCAGAGGCTTCGGCCGGTCATGGATGAGGTTGGTATCCTCAGTCAGCCATTGGACCAAGATGGACCCATTGGGGACTCCTGCCTTAGTTCCTCATGAACAAAAAAAATAGTTCACTCATCAATAAGTCCTTTAGAGATAGTTATAGATTTTCCTTGGCAGGATGAGTGCAGGAAGTACCAAATGTGAATACACTTGGTCAACTAAAGCCCTACACAGATGTAACTTCCTGCTATTACAAAAAACAAATTTATTTCTAAAAGACTTACCCTAAAAGTTACTTTATCTCATAACTATAAAAGTCCTGCTTAAAGTTGTCAGCTTAGCTTAAGAATTAGATGTTCATACACTAAAAGATGGAACATTTCTGAGGCAGAACTAAAAGAAGTTTGAAACTAATGCATTTTGTTTTGTTACACAGTATTGGTTGTCACAATTTGATTTTTATATTTTTTATTCAACTGATTTTTAGACTTTTACTCAGAACCATAGTGATACAAATAAACATCTCTAAATGCAACATTTTTCATGTGGTAAACTGCAAAGTCACTGGCAATTTCTACTTATTTTGAGGCTCTCTGATTATGTTGGCACTTTAATGACCTTGAGAGTAGCTTTGTCCGTTTTATAAATTAAAAAGCTTTTAAAAGACATAGTACACTTGTTAAGTTAATCCTGACAAATGAAAGAGTAATGCTTAACTCTTTAAAATTGACTTCACTGTATTACTTGAAATTAGAAGTAATTCTTTAAACTTACGTTCACTGAGTTCTTTTGACTCGACCTCCTTCATAGCTAGTGGATCTCTCTCTTTCTCCCTAGTTCTTCTCGCTTCCTAAGGACTGAGTTTGAATCTCTTGGTGGAACTGTGGCCCTTCACAGGCTACGCCTCCAATTTTGTTTCCCCCTAATTTTTTCACAGTCCTCCGTCACACCAGCCATGTTGTCCCCTAACCATACTAGGTTCTTCTTACCTCTCTCTTCATGCCTTTGCAAAGGAATACTTCTACATATATCTATTTTTTATTTCTTTCCTGTTTCTAGTGTCACCTCTTTTATGATACCTTCCTTGATTCACCCAGGCGGAGTGAATTCTTGTGGGTACCTCCATTTTTATTATATCTGCCCCTGATACATTTAATCTCAGTGTATTGTAGGAAGAAGCACTGTTAGGCACCTCTGTACCCTCTACAGATGACACAGTGCCCGCCCTATTAGTAGATTTTTTTAGCAGAAGTTGGCCACATTTAAGTTGAACTCTGCTGCCAATCTGACCTCAACATCTAATAATCCTATTCTTTTTCCATCAACACCAATATATGAGATCAATAAATGTGAGATTGATTTTCTTCATTAACCCAACAAGTGTTTATTTAACACCTGTTACATAACCAGGCATTGCTGGATCTTGGCAGCACAGTATGATTGATTCTTCAGGGGTACATTGATGAGCTAGCAAGGAGCACAGAGAAGAAGTGAGCACACACACCACCGTGGGGGCAGTACAGTTGACTGTTGTGCTTGTTTGCTTCATCCTTCTTCCTCCCATAATGTAATAGCACTTTCTGTACAAGGCCTCGGACTTGGGTTCTGGCTGCATCAGATGCGAAGGGCAAACCATTAGATATAACCTGCCCTGCATGTTTACCTTTGAGGTAATCCTTAGGAATGAATTAGGTGTTAATAATACATTGATACTTGTACAATGGGGAAGGGGGGAGGGATAACAACAGTAACTGTTGTCAGCGCTCCCAGTCCATTATGGTTTTATCATTTACTGGTGCTATAAGCCAAAGCAACACGGTGATACTTGTTAAGCCACCTCTTTAAATTATATGTTAACTTCAGGCACTGTGGTTGCCTTCTTTGTTTTACAGAAACTAGGAAAACTGCTTTTGGAATTATTTCCACAGTGAAGAAACCTCGGCCGTCAGAAGGAGATGATGATTCTCTCCCAGCCTGCAAAAAAGCCAAGTGTGAGGACTGAACGCACCTCACAGCCTCTGTCAGTGCTCCCTTCTTCCCTTTTGTAGCCCACCAGCCACAGTGGAAATAAAACCTTTGTTTGGGTTGCTGTTTTCACATGGAGCTAGAAATCAGTAGTCTATCGAAACGAATTTTAGGCAAGCCCTTAAAATAACAAACAAAACCTGAGGAAGCATTAAAAAAAAAAAAGACTCAGCTTAATGAATTTAAATATATTTTAAGAGAAAAACGGAGTCCAGCTTATATTCTTTGTGTAAGTGATAAAATGGCTGGTATAATGAAGTTAAAAGATGTTTTAGTATCTCAAGAGCCTCTTTAAAAATGTTTCTCGTTCATTTAAAAACATTCTTTTTTGCTTTATTTAACATGCATTATTTTTTAACATTCCTACTCAAAAAGTGGTTATTTTGAGGACTGCTAAAACTTACTGTAAAAGGTTGGCTTTAGTTGATCTATTCTTGTTTTAAGCCTCTCTTTCATTATATTCATCAAGTTGAAGTTCTTTCTAAAAGGACTTGCTCTAAAATTTGTGGGAGGAGAGGGAACATGCACATAAAATCACACCTGGCTTTTTCCTTTGCTGCTGCTTACCTCCATGAGGACCTTGAAATAGGATTCTCTCCTTTGAGTTGGAAGCCTCTGAAAACCTAATGTTGATTTTTTCCAATAGTTGTATTAAGAAAACCAAAGCATTGGACTTAACCAACTTTGGAAATAACTTTCTTAAGAGCAGCATCTTTATATTAAATAGAAGTAGCCTTTTTTTGCAAATGTCTTCATGTTTGCTATGTTGATACAAATAATTTTTTAAACTTGAAAAAGAAGAGTGAGTCAGAGGAAAGATAATTTATAAAAGAGAAAGCTTCATATGAACCTCACTGATAAATATAGATACTTAAATAAAAAGTAAAGAGAAGCCATTAAAACAGAGTATACCATGACTAGGTGAGATTTATTCTAGGAATGTAAGGATATTTCAGTTCTTTTTAATGTACTGTACTTTATCATATTAATCGGTCAAATGAGAAAAATCAAATTCATCTTAATAGATGCTAACAAGACATTTGATAAAATTTAAAATTCACTCCTGATTTAAAAATTAAGCAACAGTAAAAACCCTTGGCAAAAGTAGAAGTCTATTTCATGCACATATATATGTTCATATATGTATATTTGTATATTGTATATATTAACCATGGTGGTTCTAAAAATAAAGCATTTTTTACTGACTTCCACTTGAGCAATTTGATGGATTAGCCTACTCCATTTCCTCCGTAAAACTGATGGCCACTGCCGCTGGGCCCACACACAGGAGCCTGCCACTTAAGGAAGGCTTGCTTTTGCCTCTGCCCCAGTTGGACTGACCAAAAGTTAGGTGTGTGTTTACACACAAGTCTGTTTATGTCGTAGTTAGCAATGTAAAATTATATAAGTTAATTAAAAATTATGAAAACTGATGAACTATGAGGGGCAAAAAGAAGACTTCCCAAGAAAACTAAAGTTGATGCTTTTGAAAGGTTTAAAAAAGATGAGTCATTAAAAAGAACTGTCAAAAAAGGTGTGAGCAGGATAACTAAGATTTCGGAGAGATCCAGTAAAAATCTGCACTTGGATTGCTTCACTGGAGTCTTAAGTTCTCTTTCTTTAAAGAGACTAGAACTCAAAAAAGACCCCTGGATTTCCCATTATTGCATCCATTATTGCTCACACAAACAGGCTTTGACCTTTCTTTGACGTGAGTGTACATTTATGTATTTTAAGCTCAAATGTTTAAGGGAATGATCTCGTATGTTTGACTTTCTTTGATGCTCCACCTTAATCTACTTTTTCAGCCAACTGACTATATGTATATTAGCCCCAATTGCACCAGATATAATATTGAGGACTTTCATCTTATATTAGAAAGGAGGTAAAGTTATTGCAGGTGTGACTATCTTCTTGAAAAACGAGAAGCAACTGGGAGAAGATCAGAAACACAGATGCTTCTTAGTTTATGCACATTTGTTATATATTTGCAGTTGTGCCTGCTTTCTATTTATGAATCTGTGCTTATCCCATTGTTCAAAACAGGAGGGCGTGATGGCTGGTCACCAGTGAATGGCAGCCAGCCGGGTTCCTCCTGATGGGTGCTTTTGTTAGAACATGAGCCACTGCTGACTCAGTTACAAGATGACCATACCTTGAATAAAAGTTCAGCAAGGCAGCCCATTGTAAAATAAATACACAGAAGCCAATAATTTTAATTAACATTAATGTGTTATAAAATATTACCCTATTCACAAAGACATAAATTACCAAGAAATATGTAGGAAATAATGAATAAAACTCTTAAATTAAAATAAGTGAAATTATGAAGAATGGAATACATGGAAGGAGACATATACATCAAATTCTCTATGACTTTAACGAAAAAGTATGGTTTTTACTTGTGTATATGCTTGGGCTTTAGACTTGGTATTTTGAAAGAATATGAGAATAGCTATGAAATTTCGTAGAAGAACAATGGGTGGGACTTGTACTGCTCAATATTACAGAACACCACAAAACTCTAGTAATTAAAACGATAATTGGTGCAGAAATTCCTACAGATGAATAAAAGAGCTGGGAGTCCAGAACCACTCACTTATAAGAAGTTATGGATTGTTCAGTAAGTGGTACTGAAACAACTGGTTACTTAACGTAGGAGAGGCGATGCAGCATACCAGTTAAGTGCAAAAACGGAAAACACACTACTTGTGTTAAAATCCCAACTTGCTAAGACTTAACCCCTGTGACCTTGGGCAAATTACATAACCATTCTGTGGCTCACTTCATCTGTTCTCCCTACCTGTGGTATTATTGCAAGGGTTAAGTAGATTAATATTTGTAGAAGGCTTAGAGCAAGACCTGTCGTAGACTGCACCTACTATCAGCTATCATTCTATCAGTTATGGGGGGAAAAAAAATCTAATTCCTATCTCATACTCAATCCACACCCATAGTAAATTCAGGTGGATTAAAGAAACACTTTTCTGGAAAATATAGATAAGTCTTTTAATAAGCTTGGATTAGAACACTGAAATGTGGTCATCAAAGCCAGAAAATATAAAAAGCTTGATTGCTTTGTCTCTATGAAAGTATTCTGTTAGAAAAGCACAACTAGGAAAGTACATTTACAATGTGTTTTCCAGAGAGGTTTAGCATCCTAAAGGTTTTTAATTTTTTTTTTTTGAAAACATATCCAACATGACAAAGCCCATTCGTGTCCACCCAGATCCCTCTTACCAGGCTGATGTACCCATCCCTTAGCTGCTTCAGATGTGGGGAACTAATGGTTTATCTTCATCCTTCAGAGGTTTGCCCTGGCCTACTGGAAGCCACCTTAGCCAAAGATGCCTGGGAAGTTTTTCTCCCACCTTTTGAGGTTGGCCCACGGCCGGTGTCTGATGCCAGGCATTTGAGACCAGCCTTCGGGTCCAGGTGGTACAGTTTATGCTCCGAACTTCGCTGGAACTAGGCTGAGAAGAGACTTCTCAAAACCACATCTTTGCCTCTTTTCTTCTGCCCTGTCCTGTTTCTCTCATTTGTTCTCAACAAATCACAAGAATCCTCATTTCAAGTGCTGCTTCCAGGGAACTTGACTTAATAGAAAATTGGGCAAAGAAAGTTGGCCCAGAAAAGCTCAGTAAACATGAGCTTTTTTTTTAGTAATTGGGGGAAAGTTACAAAAATATATCTTTTGTTGATCTGGTTGAAAAGATAAAAGATTTATAAAATGAGTGTTTTCTTGACTGTGGGGAAAGGCAGTAACACATGGAAGGTATAATTTGATACCAATCTTATAGATAACTTCTGTAAATGTATTTCTTTAGAAATAATTGGTTAGGTATAAAGGGTACATGAATATTTGTAATCATGTGTAAAATAATGGAAAAATGGAAACAACCTAAATGCCCAATACTAGGATTAGTGAAATCCAATGTGCATCGAAACATAAGAATACCGTTTATAAAGATATATAGAATAATTCGTTCAGTTGAAAACAAAGTTATAAAACTAAATGTACAGTGGCGATATGTAATCATAGAAATAATCAGAGAGCTATGAAATTACGATTATTGGAGATGTTTGCTTTTTTTCGTTATCCATTTGTATAATTGGCTTCAATACTTCATAAGTATGTATTGTTTAAGGGGAGACAGGAAGTTTTTTCATTTGGGGGATAAAGGCAATATGATAGATGTTACGACATGGATTAAAAATAAAGGACAACAGGAATACACATGGGGGGAATCACAAAGTCTAAGCGTCCAGGGTGACTCCTAGTTAACCTAGAAGGAGAGGGATGAGGAAAAGTTTCTGCAATGGGTGGGGTTGGGGTGGGGAGCAGGCCCTTCCAGGAGCTGGCACAGTATGTAAAAACAAAACCAGGTGCCTGGGCTTTTTAAGGAACTGAAAATTCATTACAGACAAAATTTGGAGTGTAGCTAGGAAAGTGATAAGAATAGAGTTAACAGCAGACAGCGTTTAGGATTTTTGAAAACGTTAGTTTTCATCCTGAGGTAAATGGGAAGCCATTGGAGGCCTTTAAAGAGGAGAGTGACTTGACCAGTTTTGCATTTTAGAAAAATCACTCTGGCTGCAACTTGAACAGCCTGGAGGGAAGTAAACCAGAGGCTGGGAGTCCAGAGAGGGTCATTTAAGTAATCCAGGGGGATGTCATGGTGATCTGAACTAGGGGAGTGAGTGGCCCTGGGGTGAGAGGAAGTGGACAGATCAGAGGGCAGTGCGCTTGCTGCAAAAACCTTGTGGTTGATTTAAAGAGAGGGCGAGGCAAAGAATATTGAGAACAACTTCCGGGAGCGTATTGGCTAGTGGGATGTTCTCTTGTGTTCTAAGAACACAAGACAGTTTGTGGGCAAAGAGCTGGCTCAGGTGGGGCGACCAGGAGCTTAAAGAAGTGTGTGTGTGTGGCTGAAACTGGAAAGTTTTGCTCGAAGTGTTTGTTTCCCGTTAGCAGAGGTTACTAGGTGGCCTTGTTCTGTGGGGCTTACTGCGTGTTGACTCCCATGCCCTCTCCCTCTGTACCAGCGCACATCTTTCTATATGGAGACCCAGAAGGGCTTTAACCCCTTCCTGTCTTCTGTAGCCTCCCAGCTCGTGCGGGGAGGAGACTTGAAGACATCATAAAGAGAGAAGAACTCGGTCACATAATAACACACACCCAGATTATGCCATGGGAGTCATCATTGTTAGCAACAGGAATGTTGCCTGTGTTGTAGGCGCTTTACTTGGAAATGGAAGGACCCTGAGCCTTAAGGATCTGCGGGGTTAGAGCCAGGACCCTAGAAGGAGGGTGAAGGGGTGGTACAAGGGAGTGTGTGTGTGTGTGTGTGTTGGGGTGGGGGGGGACAGAGAACAGAGAAGGAAGCTCCCAATGCCCCCTGGGACTCGGACTGTGGATTGTTAGGAGACTAGACAGAAAAGGTTCAAAAATGTTTCAGATCATCCTCACAATTCCAAGTGTGTCCATGGCCAGCGATCTGGGAGACCTGGGTATGGACTGTGCTTGGACACAGTCTCCGTGGTAGAGGCCAAGCTAAGAGGTTATGTGTATGATCCTGTCTGGAATGAGGTTTTTGGGAGGTGTTACCAGTGCTAGTGTTTCACATTGGCCTTCAGACATTTCCTCAAGTGCCAATCCTGTCCCATGACCTTGCCCTTTCCTGTGTCCTCCCTGCTGCCTGGAACGTTCTGTGCTTGAGGAACTCCAGGTTGCCCTTGAGAGTCCCCTGAAAAGCCACCGCCTCAAAGACGTCTTCGTAGAAATCCCCTCCCTCATCCAATGATGTGCCCCCACCTCTTAGACTTTCACAGCACTCTGTATGTTTTGCTTCATTTTTCTTACCACAGATATTTACTATGTATATTTCTGTAATTATTTCTTTAGTATTCATGTATTCTGGGAAGGCAGGGCAGGGACAGTCTGGTTTTCTCATCACAGGTCTTAGCACCTGGACCAGCACCTGGCAACAGAATCCTTGGAGGTCAGAAATCATTGACCAGGTGTGTTTTCTTGTGGGAGGTCTTTGACCCTGTCCGCCAGCCACTGTCCACAATAATTGTTGAACTTCATTAGTGGAGTCTGGATGGAACTTCTCAGGAAGCTCTTGTTTAACTTGCAGTAATAATTCTGCCCACCAGGGGTCCCTTTGCCCCATCATTGGGGGCCAAAGACCGCGTACTCCTTTGTACCTTTAAGGTTTTCACAGCCTTGCTGCTCAAGGTGTGATGGTGGCCTAACCACTCCCTCTGCGTTACCTCGGGCCTCGTCAGACATGGAGACTCAGGTCCCACCCCAGGCTGGCAGAATCAGGATCTGCATTTTAACAAGATGCTCAGGGGATCTGTATGCATATTAAATACTGAGAAGCACTGCTCTATAGGACATTCCTAATCTGAAAAACTTGGAACACTAAGAAAAACCCCATCTGAATGGCTTTTTTCACATGGCTCTTTCCCACTAAGAGAAGTACTTAGAAAGAGGTTTAGAATCTGTTTGCTTTTATTATGAATATAAAATATACATATGACATACTATACATTTACACATTTACAATTGGCAGTTGCTTTCATCTTTTTTGAGCAAATTCCGTTCTGCACGGCCCAGTTGCCCACTCTGTCCACCACGCTCCACGTACACTCGTGACATTCCCTTCCCCTTGGTGCAGTGTGCGACTTGGTAAGAAATACCAGAGGCCCAGGAAAAAATGCTGGTCGTCCTGTCCTTCTCATAGAATCTCTTTCATTCTACTGTTTCTTTTTCTGTCACTGCATGCCTTCCATTGCCTCAGACTTCAGGAATCAAAAGAGGGGCTGCAATCATCACCTTTGTCTTCTAAAAACACCCTTGAAATAGCCCACATGCGTGAGGTGATACATATGTAGGTACTGAGAGCACTGCTCATGAACACGGTTTAACTATCTACAGGAAGGCTCTGAAGTGTTATATATGAACCAAGCTTTGCTCACCCAATGGATGACCATAAAGGATCTGAGTATCGGTGGCATCGAAGTACACTTAAAAATAAATAAATAAACAGGAATAAATACAAATAAATAGAGTGAGTTTCACTAAGGGGAATTTCAATACCTATATCCCCGTGCTTTCTCAAAACTTCATTAGGTGCAGCTTGACAACAGGTTGATAAAGAGAGGTTGGGTTTTATAACTAGTTGCTCTTCTTCGGGGCTGTTGCCTTCCCAATGCGGGTGAAGAGCCGCCGATGAAAGGGGCTGTCGTCGCTTCTCTTAGAACGCAGCTATGCGAGGGGTTTTGTAGGAGTTCTCTTTGAGGCTGTCAAATATCGCTTTGGTTCCATTCTGCCAGTGTAACACCAGGTCCATCGGCGTCTTCCCAGCCTAGTGAAAACAGATGAGGACATTTGACTTCCAGATGGGAGGCATCTGTAAGTTCACATTCTCTGTGTGTGTGTTTAATGAGGTGATGGGTAGGTAGGTGTATGGTATTGAAGTCTTTCATGCTTTTCTCTATGAGTAATTGGCAGTTTATTTTCAAACCAGTCCTTCACTGTTTCTCACAGGAATGCTTTTGTCATTTCAGATTAGCAATACCCCCCACTCCTTGGGGCTATTTCAGGTATTGATAAAAATTTGTAGTCCCTAGACACAAAATGGCAAGAACACCCCAAGATATTTTGAGGTTCAAACAATGCCTCCATAGTCTCCAGGATGCTGCAGAATAAGCACAGGGTGGTAGCTTTGACCTTGTTGTAAAAAACCAGTTCCTATCAATTTGGAAAATGATTCCTTGGTTGATATAAACTGGTGGTAATCAAGCTGCTTCGACGCCTTGGCTTAAGTACTCAGGTATTTCTCAGTACTATTACTGCTCCAGGGGGTAGATTTTTCACAACTGTTCGGGAGTTACATTCAGTTGGCCCATAAATTTATTTTTCATGGAGGTGACATCAGAGATATGTGAATACATTTTTGAGACCCCAATTTTTTTCCCTTATGAACATGTCTCAAGATATTTACAAAAATTAAAACCATGTCACCTCTCAATTCTTGTCTTTAAATATGGGAAGTCCTGAATTTTTCCATCTCTTTAACCCAGAGATTGCAAACTGGCAGCTTTGAGACGCAAACCAGTGAAGAGACCTGTTTTGTTCTGGCCCAAACAGAGCTTAGATTTTTTTTTTTAAGTTGGAATTAATTGGCAACAGTTGGGAATTAGAGATTTCCCAACTGAATTTGTGATCTTTGAAAAAAGTCTGAAGAGTTGGCAGTATGATACTAGCGGTTCCTTACAGCAACAATGGACTGGACTGGGGAAGCGCCTCTGCCTTTCAAAGTTACGTGCACAGACCTCCACAGCCACCCACTTAAGTCATTTATATGATCTGCCTACCCTGTGCATATTGAGTTAGTGGCCCTGTAACCTTCACTTTGGAACTTCCCACCTCTAGCCTCTTCCTTGAGAAACACTTATCAGCAGACATGAAGACAGAGTTTTGGACAACAATAGAATAACACTGTGCGTGTTGTTTCCAATCCCCTTCAAGAGGGTGTCTAATAGTTTATTGGTCTTTTGGAGGAACACTGATTCATTGGGTCAGTGACATGAATAGTTTCAGAATGCTTATGCCTGGGTCTAACAGACACTCAGAGCCTTGAGCCCTATGTGTATATTTTTGGCTATTCTTCCATAAATTCCTTGCCCTCCTCCCTGTTGAAATCTATCTCCTGATTTTCTGGCTACTTAGACATTCTCCCCAAATCAGTATGCTATTTATTTCTGCTGGTACTGTCTCACTGACTGAGAAAAAAATCATCATATTTTCAGCAGCTTTGGAGATTTCATTGAATCTACTCTTTTTCTGATATTTTATTGAAATTATTAGATAAAACCAATCCCAATATCAAGGATAACGGAACCCTACTCTTTAACACTTTAATACCCTAAGCAGTCTCTATTCCTTGCATTTAGTCTTTGTTCCTGTTACCAAGCCAGTTTTTTTTTAAGTGATAAAATATTCCTCTCAGTTTCATAGTAACACAATAAGAAGAAATTATTCACATTATATGATCACTGGCGTTTTCTTTTTCTTTTTTATGAAAGTGATTCTCCAAAAGCTTTCAAGTTATTTCTTCAGTAATTTACACCCATTCCTCTGGGTGGTATATTTAAAGCTTATATTAGATGATGTTTGCCTGGGAATTGGGACCATGGGAAGTTGGTTATCTTTCCTGCTTACAGATGAAGCTAAATTAATACGTACTTGTAGAAGGAACTTATACAAGCATTTTCAGAGCCTAAATATAGGAAGTTATTTTGAGGGATGTCCAGATAAACTAAAGTGGAGAATAGATGGAAATTATCTCAAAAATATAGGCAAAAGCACAGCTCCCACTGGAAGAAAGTGGTAGCATGTCATGTTGTAAGGAGGGGAGGACTACTCAGAGTTACTCAGATTACCTCTGGATTGATTCGTGTTCCCTGGCTCTTGGCTGCACTGACCATTTCAGGAATGGTGGGTGTCTGTGTTCCTGACACCCCAGGCCTTGCTCAGCCAGGGATGGCCAAGGCAGATGGCACTTGTGTTTGTGAAGGTGAGCAGTTTGACCGTCTTTTATTTTCAAGACCAAATTTTAAGGCTTACTAGACACTGTCTCTGACTTCGATACTGAAGCCATAGCAATCACTATGGCTTCTCCTGTCTCTGACCAGGTGACCTGAGTAAGGTACGCAGTGTCATGATGAGATTGACAGGGGCATTTGAACCATCGAAGGCCCCTGAAATACTACCATTGTGGGACTATTTTCAGGTTTGTGAGATGCGCTTTTGTAAAGTAGAAAGCCTGCAAGCGGGTTCCTTCTTTGGAGCACTTACACAGTTCTTGACGTTGAGGTTGGCACCATACATAATCAGGAGTCTGATCATCTTGTAACGATTCAGTCTCACGGCATCATGCAGGGGGGTATCTCCTTCCTAGAGAAGCAGAGTGAACAGGTTAAAGATGGGCCTGAGGACAGGAAGTGGGTCCCGAGCGTGTACCCGATGTAGGGAGCGATTCCAAAGAAATGAGGAGCGAAGCTTCAGGAGGCCCACCTCTACGCGACTACTCACTCGGTCCTTGGCGTTGAGATCCGCCTCGCAGGCGATGAGATGCTCCGCGCACTCGTAGTGGCCAGTCCTCACCGCCACGTGCAGCGCTGTGCTGAGCAACTGGGAAATTAAAGAACGCTGCTGATTTGCTGGGCGAGAGGATAGGGGCTGTTCCAGACCCCAGGGTATGTGGGGCGGGGAGTGGCCACTGTGGAGCCTCGCACAGCATGGAGAGGTGGGCTCGGGAGTGGGGGGAAGAAGAAGGCAGGGAAAGGGACGAGGAGGATGGGGGGAGACAGCGCAGGAAGAGGAGAAATACCTTATCCCGGGCACTGATTTTTGCTCCTTTATTCAGCAACAATTTTAAGACATCCAGATTTCCTCCACGGCTTGCCCAGTGAATGGCGGTGGATTCAAGCTATAACCGGAAAGTAAAAGGACATGACTTAATGTAAAGAAGACCCTGGTCAGAGGGATTCATACTTGGTTTCTAAGGCCCAGGAACACAAAGCTTCCTAAGGCATCTGTAATAACAATGGTTGTCCTTGTCTACATCGCCGATTCCAGCAGCTACTGTAGTTGAAGGCTCGTTGCCAAATGTTTTAGCTAAACTATAGGTATGTGAATGTAAGTATATAGACTCATATGTGTGCATCTGTGTGCACCATTAGGAAATTCTTAATAAATGAATAACTACCTTTAAAAAGAATAAGAACTATAATTTACTGAGAATTTCTTTGTGCCAACATGGTGCTACATACCCTAGACGTGTTGATTCTCCCAGCAACATGATGAGTTAGGGGTGACTGGGCTCATTTTGCAGATGAGAAAAACAAGGCTCCAAACTATTCAACTTTCTTGCCCAAGGAAATAGCTAGTAAGGTAAGTGGCAGAATAGATATTCAGACCCACAGCTGCCTGGAACTTGAACCACTTTTGCCAAATATGTGTATACTCAAAAGTTCTAGACAAATGTATTTAAAAATTCTGGCAGAATAAAAGTGGTCCCTTCCAAAAGCTTTTAATCTGGATCTGATACCTCTTCCTGTGTCCTTGTTTTTTTCCTCATTTCTTGCTGGTTCTCTACTATCATTTGTGCCAGCACAGCCTCTTATCGTGACTGTCATCACTTGTGGTCACTACACACTGCACTTACTCAGAAGATTCCTTCCTCCCTGATTTGTTTCGGATATCCCTGGCCTTCCACACCCCACACTCATGAATTTTAGTGTCTTTCCATGCAAATTTTATTTTTTTGTTTCTTTAAATTGTTTTTCTGTGTGTTTGTCTTTTGGGTTCAATTTTGGCCAAATCCTTTGAACGCTTTTCATATCCTTTTCCACTTTGCTATAAAGTCAAACTGAGATGAATTTAAATAAAGCATTTTCCCAGCTCAATTTCAGTTCGTAAAATATGCTATATACTGGTCTTTGTAGAAATCACAGTGGTTGAATTATTGAGGTCTGAATAGCAGCTGCTTTCATAGATGCAGTTCATTTAGTGTGCAGCCTAGCCCCAAATCTCATCGAGGGCACTCGGCATCTATCATATAAGGTGTGCAGCTAGAGAATTCTGATTCATTGTTGGCAGCCAGGGGGCCACCAGCAGAAGGCCATGTATAATGGAAGGACAGGGATGTTGAAAGCCAAGTGTCGACTGTATTACTTCTCAGTAATGCTACTGACTTGATAATGACCCAACTCTCTGATGAGGATATTGAATTCTGTTCAACAGTGTTCACTTCCTTCTTTTCCCTGGAACACTCCTTTTCAGTATATATAGAAAATACTTTCCACATGACCTAGTCCCATCTCCCAAGTTTCCTTTGCTCGGAGAAATAAGCTTTTGCCTAGTTCTCTGAGATCAATTTTCAATCCACTCAGCCCAGTGTTTCATTGTAGGTTTTCCTGAGCTTCATATAGTCTACTCATTTTGGCTTATTTCCAAGCAAAGAAATATATTTACCATATCACGGAATTCGATCTGGGCTCCAGCTTCCATTAACTTCTCCACAATTGCCAAATGCCCTTCCAGGCACGCTCTATGAAGAGCTGTCCGTTTATACTGTCAGAATAGAGATTAAAAGAAGGGAGAGAGAGATGAAAAAATGCATATAAAAATGTGCATAAATCCTTTCTAGGAGGTATGAATCTGGAGGCTCTGATGACCTAATTGATAGAAACTCAAATGCTGCTTTATGAATTAGGAATGTCAGATTCACTAAAATAGCAGAACTAGAACAATTATCCTGCAACTGAGATTTGAGCTTCCTGTCATGTGCATTTCTAAGCGCCAGGGATGTGAACTTGAAGGTTCAAAACTGCCTAAATGCTGGCTTTCCCTTTCTTGTATTTTACACCTTCATTGTTTGTGTAGTGTTTGCCATGAAGATCAGTATTCTTCCATCTGGGACTGTTGCTATGTTGAATATCAAAAAATATTCAATTCATTTGTAAGAAAATGGGAGGCTCATTTTTAGTTCAACTTCAGAAATGATCCCCCGTTTCAGTTCACAGGGGAAAGAATACAAAAACGATTAGTGATTTCTGGTAAATTGGCTTCATATGAATGGATGATAGATTTTTAAAGCTGGAACAACTTTAGGCATAATATCACGCCAGCGCCCTCTATTTACCGATAAGGAAACTGAGGTCTAGAAGGTGAAAATTAGCTGCTAACGATCAAGTGGCAAAGTAGTAAAAGAGCTGGCACTTGAACTCTAGTCTCCAGATTCCCTGCCTAGAACTGATATTTTGGGTCCAATCAGAGATGGTGCTTCTGCAAAGGTGACTTATTGGCCTTTCCTTATTAAAAGTCTGTCCCAAGGATGTAAGAAGCTAAAGACGATCTGAAAAATCAGCCAAAAATATATGAGGGTGCAGAAAAGGATCCAATCTATAGCACTAATCCAGCTTTTTTTTTTTCTTCCTGCATGGTACTCTCCTTTTCTGTTGCTGACATATGCAGCAACAGCTGGGGAAACTGTTTCAGGTGGATTGATTTTTGGCACCATATTAGCAAGCCTGCAGTAAAGCATAAGAAACACAAAATTAATGAGCTGGATTTTGCAGTGCTTTGTATAAGCCTTACCTCATCACAGACATCTGGATTGTTCTTGTCTGACAAGAATTTTTCTATTACTGGCAGTTTATTCTCCAGGGCAGCCTTCAGAAACCGAGGCCCATCCACAGGTTCTGTCTAAAGCGAAAAATAGTGTGCGAGTTACCATGAGCATTCCAGCATCCAATTGAACCCTCCACAGACACTTATTTCCCTGTAGCACACACGCTGGACGTGTAACACTACAAAACCAAATAGCCCTTACAATGATTTCGGGTTCAGGTTCCTTCACCACTGGAACTTTACTTTTCCTGTATTTTTTCTTCTTCTTCAGTTGAATGATAGTTTCAAGGTCTTCTAAATTTTCAAGCTTTGATCTTTGTTCTAGTTTTTTCTTCTTGAGCTGAAAAAGAAATCCATATTTCAAAATACGGTGAGTTCTACTGACAAGCAGTCTGGCTGTGTCTAAACAAAATCTGCTAGGTCTGAGATGAGTATGGGAACAGCTTCAGCAAAAAAATTTTAAAAATTAGATAGTTGGTTTGGATTCAGTGGTTTCTTATTCAGGTATTTGGGGGTCTAATGTTTCAGCTAACTGCCTTTATCTTCACTTCTCTTACATGTAGCATGAGCTTTGGAGAAGATAGGATCTAGTCCCCAAGTGATAATTTTGTAATTACTGCCATAAATCCTAGATTTCCGTTGAAATTTTTTTTTATCATACTCAAGAATTTTTTTTAACCCAAAAGAATCCAGTAATAAATGTTAAGCTTTGAAATATCAGGGCCAGTCTCTTTCAGGTGGTCCAATAATCATAGCCCATGAAACAGACTATCCTGGGACTACAGGTAATGAATGCATGTTTTGTCTGTGATTAGTAAGTAATGAAAATTCACCCAGCAGCACAGATACTGTCAACACAGATAGCGGATATAGTCAAACAACGATCAATGGACCACAAACCACATTACCGAGAAAGAGAGGTCTCCCTTGCTTGGGATTAACTAGATGGCACATGACATGAGAAATTCACAAGACACATTTCTCTTTCCAAATCTTTCAAGTAGAACATGGTCATAGAATATTTAATCATTGATTCAGAATCCGGAGGTCATAGTCTTGCTAAAGAATTATTTCCCATAACCTGTCCCATAGAAGTTGCCTCTTTTTGGGTTCCAATTTGGTAAAGAAGCATCTCTGGAATGGTGGCATTCTGTTTCTTTCCTCCTTCCTCTTTGACACCTCCATCCCCAACCTCCCACTAGTGAATTCCACGGAAGGTTCTTACCTCTGCCTCTCGTTGTTTCTCAAGTTTCCACTGTTGCTCCGCCAGGAGCATGGAGTGGGCTGGAAGTGTTTTCAGGTCCTCTTGCTTCTCCAAAGTAACAGCAGCTTCATACTCTCCATCTGTGAAATCCTTCGGAAGGAACTCCCCGGTGGCTCCACTGCCATTCTTCTTCCCTGTGACCTATGAGGGAAGAAGATGGCAGGGTCAGAAGTAGCAGGGCCTACCCTGGGTTCATTCTCCACAGAGGATGCTGCAGGAGGCTCCTGGTCCTCCCTCCCTGGTGACAGTCACCTCCATGCAGCGCACCGCCAGACCTCAGGCTGCAGCGCGCAGCTGTTCTCTGCCAGGATTGCCTTCAGGTGCCTGTCATGCTGTTTAGTTAAGTCAAGGTTTAGGTTAGATTGATATGTTTAAATCTACTTTAAATCAGCTTGGTCACATTTCTCCCAGGAAAATTACAACCTCCCTCTGATTATTTAAAATTCTTCCATTTTAGGTACTTTTGATGGCTCTAGGCCTTGAGTTGTAAAGTCTTCAAACATATGTTCTTGCAATAGATCTTCTTCCCTAAGGCATTTCAATAACTACATGTAATTCTACACTTTACTAATAAAACCAAAGGAAAAGATAATAAAGAGGAAATAGGTAGAAAATTCATTACTGCCAGCTCCGTTTTCCCAATTTCACTTATTTCATCACATAAACCATTTTCCATATATGACATGTTCAGAGTACTTGTGCATTATGCCTGAAAGAAAAGGACATTTCAATTTTCAAATAAAAACTAAGACTGAACCAGTAAAAATAATGGGTCTTACATACCAGCTCCTCTACTTTCAGCATCATCATGTTGGCCCGAAGCTCGTCTGTATGTTTTCTCCTGTGGAATGATTCTCTTGAGTTGGCCCTGCTGAGCTTATATAGCTAGGGCTGGGTGAGATAATCTTCCAACCTGGGAACCCAAGTAACACCCCAGCCCCCACCGGTGGCCAACTCAGAGGCAGGTGAATTTTCATTCCAGACTCAGTGTCTGGGAAGCAGAAGAGGGAGGGGATGACAAGTAACCTCACTGAATATGTGAATCAAGATGAAATGTGAGAGGGCCATTCCTTTGGCAGTGACCACAGCGCTCAGCAATGCAAGTCATCCTATTTATCGGGAAGCCAGGGGACAGCTGCCTGTTGAGATTGCACCACAATGCTGCTCTCTTTCTTTCTTTGTCAGCTTTCATATGACTGACCCTATCAAGAAAATGTAAATACCCTGCATATCACACTCCCAATAATATCTTTCTGATAACCGGACTTATCAACACTTCACTTGGGGGAAGTGTTGCTTCAGGACATCCTATTCCTGTGGGTAAACATGTTGAGAGCAAAGGATTCGAGTCCACATGGCCCTTGTCTATATCTGTTTGGAATTCTCTGGAGTGATGTCTGGGGCTAAAAAGGCCCCATGACATGCCTACTTACCATCATTATAAGAAATTGAAAGCACTCAGTAATGCACTTTTGTTTGATGGTGTCATTGGCCATAATTAGCATATGACATGCTTACTGTCTTCTAAAACAGTGTACTTACTGGAACAATTTTTATTCAAAAAGGATCCAAATGGTCTGGAGATAGATTATGTGAAATCAGTTTTTTAGCCACGGTATGACCTTGATTAGGCCATAGAGCCAAAGTTCTCAGATGGAATGGGTAAAAGACTCACCTATGGGAGCTTGTAAAAAATCCAAACCCCTGGACCCCACCTCCAGGCATTCTGAGTTGATTGATGGTGAGCCCTAGGAATCTGTGTTTTTCAAAGCACTCGGATAATTCTGATGCATCAGGCTTGAAATACATTGCCAGAGAAGGACAGCTTCACTTAGGGAAAGAGAGAAAAAGATCTCTCTGCTGGTTTCTCATCTCTGAGGTGTTAAATTATGTAAAAACATTTAGGTGTCTTTGTAGTTCAAGGAGAAACTGGGGTTACTATATCGTCAAAGCTATTTAAAATCCTTTTTTTTTTTCAGTAAACGGAAGGAGGAAAGAGTGAGAGAAAGGGAGTGTTCATCAGAGGAGTGTTCTTTAGGATGTCGTATTGACCTTTCTGTGTCTGTCACTTCCTCAAACTTACCCACCCAACAGACATGGCTGCTATTCTCTTCTAACCCCCTTAAACTGATCAGCCCATGGATGGTTTTTCTGGAACTTGCAAAATGAGACATTGACTCCCGAAACCAAACATTGGCAAAGAGGGACCCTCCCAGTAACTCCCATAGCTGTTCTGGTCTCCTAATGTTCTAGAGTCTAAACTAAAAAGGGTTTTACTTAAAGAAAGTTTCCTGGTGTTTTCTTTGAAGTGGAGATAGCTATGAACATGTTCATTGATCTCTTTAAGTGAAAAGCAACCATTTAAGCTTTTCCTAATATTTCTTATGCCTTTTGTTCCAGGCCAGACCTAAACTGTTAGGAGATATATCTTTGGGGAAGGGTCATGGGTTGTTTAAGGGTCTTGAATAATGGAATCCCAGAGCTGTGAGTGCCCTCAAAGTTCAAGCAAGACCAATGTTTTCATTTTACAGAGAGGATACTGAGGCACAGAAACATTAAGTAACTTGGCTGTAGATACACAGCTAGTTGGTGGATGCTATTATAGGTTTAATAGTTTTGATTCCATCCAACAGAAGCAGAGTCCAGAGCAGATTTTCTAGGGCAGTTCATACCTAGACCCACTCAGGGCCCAACCACAATGGTTAAAAGGCTCTTCATTGTTCAAATCGTCTCAAGGAATGTAAATTGAAAGTTGGTAGGCTACCTCACCATGCCCATCCCTTCCTCCAGTCACTTAATTACCCCTGACTGGTGCTGTACAGGAGGCTCCAGAAAGTCTTGAAGAAAACTTTGCAGAGGACACTTGAGGAAAGGTTGCTGGAATGAGCTGAACTTAAAGAAAGGAGTGAACTGGGCAGATCCTCCGATATCTTCAGGGCCAGCAAAATCACAGCTGGGCCCCTCCACTCCCCTTTTCCCCATGTTGATGCAGCTTGTCACTAGAAAACATGAGAGGATTTGCTTTTCAGAAAAAGGTTCTAGATACATTTAACTCCCAACAACACATAAAACACAATTGTATTTCCAAATCATTCCTCTTCATCAAAACTGAGAACAGAGCTACTCAACTAGAGGCAAGTTCGCTGTCACTTGTTTTGAACAAGTTTTCTTCCCGTAAAAATCCCCATAGTGGGATAAATTCTGAAATTTGTGTATTTGGCTTCCTCAAATTAGGCATAACCTTTTCTTATCAAGATGAATTAAGGCATAACCTTTTCTTATCAAGATGAATTAAGGCAACGAAGCTCCAAGTTGGTTCTACAGTTATTTAGCAACCCAGTGTCAACAACCGGCGACCAGAATGAGTAGGGGAATGGTCCCTGAGCTTTGCCAGAGTTTCCCCACGAGCCTTTCCCCGCTTCCTGCAGGATTTGTGCATTTCAGTGGGTCCAGAATGATAATCCTGTTTACAGCTGGAGAAATTGAGGCAGAGGAGCAGGACCTGAAGCACTTATTGCTGTCACCCAGGATTTGAAAGACGTGCCCAGATGACATCTGTGTTCACATGCCATGGCTCGGCCCCCAGGACAATTACATCTGTCCAAATGTTAAGCTATTTCTACTCAGGCATTTTATTTTTCTTCTTATATTTTCTTAATTATGTAAGTAATGTACAAATTTGTTATTAAAAATTAAAATAACACAGAATGTTGCTTGATTGTAATCTCACTGAGTGTTGACTTGGCACTTGATTTTTTTTCACTCAATAATATGTCTTAAAGATCATCTAAGTAGCACAAACAAATCCATCTCATTATTTGAAACAACTTCATGGATTTATTTCCATGTGAGGCTATCCTATTGCCTATATAACCACTCTCCTATCTAGGGACATATAGGCTGTTTTCCAAAACAGCCACTTTTATTTGCTACTGTCAAAGGCATTTTGTAGCACATAAAATTTTATTGTTATTAACACTCCTTGTCCTTAGAACACCCACCTTTATACTAAAAGGAAGGGCCCCAAGGCCCGGAGCCAGATTCTGACTTGGAAGACACCTTGTTCCGTTGTTGCACTTAAAATTGCTCATTTTGCCATCGCTCTTAATAGCCTCCCCAGGCCCAGCTATTCACCTTCCTTGGCTCCGAGAAATAGCTGACTTTGCCTGACTAGGAATCCAAGTATCCTTATGGCCAAGCCATGGCTCAGTTACACACTTGCAAATGCCAAAGGGAGGTCATAAAAGTGAAACAAACAAGGTTCAAGGTTGTTTCCTCTCCCCCGCCAACCAGGAATGGAATCACCTGCATTTATTTGAAAAGCCAAAGTACTGAGACATTTTTGAGCAGGGTTGTGGCATCTGCCTTCATCTCTTAAAGTGAAGAGTCAAGATTAATGTCTTATTCTTCCCAGCGCTCTGGGACAGAAGATGCAAGCACATGGCTGTAAGCCACTCAGTACAAGCTTTCTTTGCTTGCGGATATCGGCGGGCTCCAGCGTTAGAGGTAGGCAAAAGCTGTAGGACTTGCCCCCCAGACCTTACAGTGCATGCCTTGTTACAGTAAATAATGTGTCTCCCCTTAAATTCTGCCACACATATGAGCCTGTGTCAGTCAATAGGCACACACAGTCACACGGGCTCTTCTGTAAACTCAGTGAAGACAGCCCCCTGTTCACTTAGGCCCTCAAACAGTGTCCGCATAAAAGGTTCACTTCAGGATAAAGGAAACCACATTCTAGCAACGGATTTCAGCGAATTTTCTAGCCTTCAAATGACAGGACCTTCTGTATATGGCCCAGCCTGAGATCTGACAGAGTCCTAGCACTTGCTATATAGGCCTAGGACTCCAACAGGCATGGAACAGTGCCTGGCACATAGTGGGACAAAATATTTAGTGACGCCTGGCAGGAGTCTTATATTCTTCTCTAGCCAACCACATGTCTCAAATCCTCTTCCCAATGACAATTTGTAACATTTCTAATGCTAATTAACATACAATCCTCTATTACTAGAGGTAAAGATGTGGAGCATGTGCAACTCATTAGCATCTTTCAAATGCTAACTAACCACAAGTATCATCTCCCAGGTAGGGCACCTCAGATGTGAGCTAACCCTTCCCAGGGCAGTGACTCTGAAGTCTGGGTACATCTTGGCATCAGCTATGAAGCTTTTAAAAGGTGCTGATGCCCAGGTCTCACCCCAGGTAGATGAAACCTGAATCTTTACTCTGAGGTCCAGGTATTGTCATTTACAAAGAATTCTCCAGTTGATTCTAATTTCCACTCAGCACTGAGAATAGCACTACAGGGTATAAATTTAAAAGGATATATATGTAAATATGCATACATTTATTCTTGAAGCTGTAATAGGCAGTCAAGCCATCCTTAGCCCAGTCTCAGAATTTTGATTGTTAAAGGCTTTCCCTTTACTAAGACTATGGGAAACACACACACACACACACACACACACACACACACACACAATTTACTCATTCAATATTTATTTGGCTCTACCAGGTGTCAGGAACTTTCCCAGAGTGGAGATATACCTGTGCTCACAAGAGACAAAGTCTCCGGCTCTTGTGGCGTTTTCACAGTTCTACTGAAGTATTTAGGAGAACTGCATATTAATATAACACACTTGTACCACCAAAGCCGAGAAGGGTCAGGGAAGTCAGTGTATGCATGAAGTTGTGAAGAATGAAGGGCATGGGATGATGAGGCATTAGGGAATCTGGCCTTTAATCCTGGCTCTGCCCTGTGTCTAGTTGAGCAAGTCCCCTCTCCTCTTAGAATCGCAAATCCTCAACTCACCAAAAGACAGCTTAGAATGAAATGATTTCTGGGGCCCTAAAGTTTAATCGAGGCCCCCAAACCACTGAATCAAAACATTAATGACTGAAGCAGCTCATGCGGACAGCGGAATTGATTCTCCAAAGCCTCTGAAATAGGAAATGGTCCATAAAGCTTTCATTAGCCCAGTGTGTTTCAACCGTCTTTAAGGCCCTCACTTGATAAATATGAAACTCACAC